TTTTTTCTTCTTCTTCGATCAAATGTTTTTTTAATTTTATTATATTCGATTCAAGCTATAAGCAATATTTTACATCTTCGCGATTTTTGTTAACTGTTTTATTATTGTACTTTTAAACCTAAACCGCGTTTTAATTCACGCCGGTAAGTTTGATTTCCTATTACATTTTTCTTTTATTTCATGATTTTTTTCAAAATAAGGTTTTTTGCGATATCGACACATATAAAGAATAATTTTTATCTTAGGATAATTATTCTTTATTCAGAAATATCGCATTATTTATGGCAATTAGATGTGTCTTGACAACGACTATTTGCTTATACCATTCTTGTTTCTCTACCATTTAGTTTTTTATTTTTATTTTATTCATGTTTTTCATGTTTATTTGTGTTTATATATATATATACATATATATATACAGAGAGAGAGAGAGCATGAAAAATAATAAAGATTAAGAAAAAGAAGAAATTATTAAAACATTTATTAAAATTATTAAAACAAAATATTTTTTAAAAAATATTAAAAAAAATAATTTACTTGAAAAAAAAATATTAAAAAGCCGGAAGTTAGAATCTCATCAGCTCACACTATTGTATCTGCAAAAAAGAATGCTTTCCTTACATTGTATTATATACAAAATATAGCAGAGTTAGTAGCACTCAAAAAAATTGAAACGAAAATAGAACACATTAAGTAAAAAAAAATATACGAAATAAAGCATATCAAGCAAAAAAACAAGTGAGTAGCGAAATCAAATGAACTTACACGTACTGTAATCTTTCAAGAATGATTTAAAATATTTTCGTAATAAGATTGCCAGATTACAAAATATGAAAATAGAAGCGCAAATAGAGTTCTAACCTTTCTAGTTCTAATCTTAATAGAGTTCTAGAAGGATCTTTTTATAGAGCTTTCTTAATACAGTACTAACTTGACTTGATATGTATTTTAGCAGAGTACCTGCCCGTGAAGCTGGCATCTCACTCCTTCTTCTGATGAAATGATATAATAGCTGAGACTAAATGGTTCTGGCAAAAAAAGATTCAAGTGTTGGCCGTGAAGCCTCTGCAGTCATATCTGAGTATAATACAGTACTGAAGCGCGTTCGATTAGTAAATTACCAAGGATAGGCCCGAAAATGGATGTGCGCAAGGTAATAACATCATACTGGATAATTTAAAATTTATGAGTAATAAGGTTGATATTTAAATATAAAATTTTAGTGAGTTTAGAAAATTAACATTTGATTGAAAAAGAAAGGCACTCTGCATATAATATATGATAAATTTCCGTCACTTACAATCGGAATGAAATGATCTTTTTTTAAGTATGCGGATCTACAACCAAAATAAGACATAAGATATAGAGGACTATATAAACATACGTGATTACAATTCAAATTTAGATAAAATTTTGCCATCAATTCTCTGTAACTATCATACCATAAAACTATTCTTGTATAGAAATCAATTTTAAATTGAACTTTTCAAGTGAAATTTGGCAACAGCATAAACGATAGCAAAGCGATATCCAACTTACAAATTAAAGTTTCGAAATCAATGTATAAAATGTTACTTGAATTAAGAATTTAATTTTTTCAAAAATATACGAATCGGAAATATCAGCCTGCATGTTTCACGCGCTCAAAAATTGGTGACCATTTTCAAGACTTGCCAGACGTGAATGAGACGAATCAAAAGGGATTTGAAATGTAAAGTTGCCAACGAAGAGTGAAAAAAATAAAGGTGAGAAACAAAACTAGAAAAGCTTCAACAGCCGAGAAAGGAAATTTTTTATTTAATGCATTAAATGGTTTCTTCTGCAATGCGATACCCGCAAGTGACGTAGTGTGGGTATCGCGATCCTGATTGGTTATTGAAATGTGGCATTTATTTAAGTTAACAACTGTTCTTTCCATTCTATTTCGAGTAAGCCAAACCCGTTAAGCATCATTTCTCTTAAATGATACATTCTTTTTCCTGACACAAGGATTCTTTCACGAAGATTTCATTTCTTTAACTATATATTTCTTACTTAAAACAGAGACCGACATGAAACCCATAACATGAAACACAAACAAACTAATTATGAATCGAAGTTGCCAGGTACGCAAAACAAAAATATATCACGGTTACAATAAAATGCATAAACATACAATAAATATAAATTTAGTAAAAGACGTAGAAGAGAAAGAATTATACTTCAATAAATTCGATGTGTGATTAGGCCCTGTATTTAAATAACTTCACGTTAATTAACCTTCTAACTTATGTGCAGAAACTTAGCTCGGCATTAACACGCCATTTCTTATAAACGATCAGTCTCTACTGACGTCATAGGTCACATGTGTGGTGGTTATACATGGTCTTCTTCTTGTTGAAGTGCAAGTACCCAATTAACGCGTCATAAAACTATTCTTACCTTAGCAGTCGATTTTAAACTAAACTTTGCACGTAAAATTCGGGAACTGCGCTATTGATAGCACAGCGACATCCAACTTACAAATCAAAGTGGGATAAAATCTCCCGATCAATGCCTAAATTAGTTTCTTTCAAAACTATCATATCATTGTACTTTTCCTTCTTAGCAATCGATTCTAACTGAAACTTTTCAAGGGAAATTTGGCAACAGCGTTAATGATTGCAAAGCGCTGCCAATACTCGAGAGATAATTTCCTCTCTTGCGTTTCTAGTGACAGAAAAGTCCATAAATTTCTATTTATCTCTCTGTTTAATTCCAGAAAAGAATAGTTTAAAGTACTCTTTTTAAAAATCTTGCCATCAATGTTACAAATTATATTCGAAATCTACCTTTATTTCAAATCTTATTGATTAATTAACTATTGTCAAATCGGCCATGTAGCGATTTGGAAAAAAATTTGTTTCTAAGGAAGTTATTCAAAAAGAGAAATACGAACCACGTTTAAAGAAAAATAACAGAATTAAGTTCGCAATTCCTCGGAGAATATACTATTTCAATAAGATGAATGACTCCTAGGGTATCATTTATTTTCAACCCATGATGCGGTTTAAAATTTTCTCTTTTTTAAAGATTCAATTCTTAAAAGATGCATCTAATCTAAAGGATTCCGGTTTATCAGGGAAAAAAGCAATAACAAAAACATTTATTGAGACTAATAATCAAAGGATAATATCTAAACGTTTCTACAATAAAAATAGATTAATCAAAGGAAAGCAATCATTTAGGGAACAAATTTAATTGTAAGAGTAACTAATTATGTTTTTTATAAAGTCGTTTACATAATTCTGGATTATTATGTGTTTTAAGTTAGATTTTTAATGGAAATGGTTTGTTTAACTTTGATTCGCTTTAATATAGTTTTACAATAAAGTATCTCGAATAGGTTTATCGCAAATTACATTTTCTATAATTCAATAGATTAAAAATGGAAAAATTATTTTAACGAAATGAGAATTTTTTCCCCCATTAAATTATACAATTCCGTTTTATTTTCGTTTTTTTGTCCATTAAGCTACATTATTTATATTTACATTATTTATATTTACATTATTTATAATTACATTATTTATAATTACATCATTTATAATTACATTATTTATAATTACATTTCATAAACTGTAAAACCAGTTATTCTGGAAATGGTAGTCGGAAAAAAATTTGTTTGAATATTCTTGTAAGTATGAATAACTAAACACTTAAACAAAATTTTAATGAAATAAATTATAATTACATATTTTACTTATGTAATAATAATCTACTTCAAATGATTACATATTTTACTGTGAGAAATATTTTTGAGTTTCTCTTAAATTTACGTCATAATTTTTGATTTTCATCTCGAAATCACGGGATTTTTGTCGAAACGCGAACTCCAGATACTGCTTTTTCTCTAAGACAATCTGAATCTACTCTGGGAGTTCTCAAACAATTTTTATTTGAGTGTAGAACCACTAACACTGTATAGCGGGATGGTGCAGAGGCTAGTGCTGTAGCTTTTCAAGTAGTTTTCTCGATTTAGATTCTAGGCTATAAATGAGTACACAGTTACACATACTTCTTTTGTTTTAGGTTGAAATTCCAACTCGATTGTGTAATCGATATTCGATTATAAACAAGAAAAGACAGTCATTCCCTCAATTTGTCGAATTTTTCACTCAGAACACTGACACAAAATAAAAAGGAAAAAATTTAAAACCTAATACTTTAGAACAAGAATCTGCTCCAAGACATATAGTTAAGAGTACTCAAGGATCATTTTAGTGATTATCACACAGCATTAGAATGATGATCACCTAGTTCACTAGACTTGAATTAAATGGATATCCCGATGTGGTTCATCTTGAAGACAAAGGTGTCACTTTATTTAATAACTGGCGTTAAACAGTTGACTTATTTTTCAGACCCAGAAGACAAAGAAATTCCGGGATTAAACTAGTCTTCGAAGCGGACTTTTTGATGAAACTATCCAGCATGTGCGTTGCATGGAGAGGACAACCACTAAAAAATCTTACAGTAAGCTCGACTGTAGGGTGGTTCTAATTATGATCCACATGCCAATTATAATATTTCATATGAAAATTATCGTGGAAAAAAGTTAATGCTTAAAAAGTTAAAAGTTATTGTTAAAATGTTGTTTTATATGCTGTCAATGCGAGCCGGTCGTAGAATTAGTATGTTCCAGCCATCGCTGGGATTCGAACCTAAATCACATCATGGGGTGGCAAACACTCCATCGCCTGAGCCACCACGGCTTGAAACAAAGATTTAAGCTAAGCGTTCCTTGAAAAAATTCTTTTTCTTGAAATGGGGCGATATGTGAAACTTCAATAAGCAATAAAACTAGTGTTACATGCTGTGTTCCTATCACTCGATATTATAGAGAGGTGTTATACTTTAATTATGCAAATGTAATTTAAATACCTGTTAAATCCATCTAAGTTCAGAATACCAATTTCTCCAAAGAAATCCCCCGCTCGCATATGAGTTAGAACTTGTCCCCTGTCACTGCAAAGCAAAGCATAAATACACTAAATGTAACGAACACTAATTATGAGATATTTTGAAGAGCTTGCAAAATCTAAAGAAATGCACATCTCTTAGAACAAAGCAACTACAATATAATAGAATATAAGGAGTTTCATTTAAATTCAAAAGGAAGGCTAGTAAATCTCTGAACAATTAACTTAATTAAATCCATTGTTTAATTTCCCACGATAATTTGTCACTAATTATTCTCATGTCAGAATTAATTCTGATCGATAATTGCGATTGAGGTATTTTTCCGCAATTACATCTTTGTGTCATTCTCTGATTACATTTTACTAATGTTTGTGACGTTGTAATCATAGTGAAGTTGGCAAGACTTAATATTAAACATACATTTCTGTTTCAGTCGTGCATATAAGTCTTTATTTCTGAATAATTTGCAGTAAAAGTCCCGCTTACCTTAAAATCAGGATGATCCGAATGGATTTCTGTTCTGTTCGAAATTGTTCAAATATATGATTCGTAACTTACATAAAAAGAACCCAAGAAAAAGCTAAGAAGTTATTATTTCATAGAAATACATACTCTCTGATCTGGTGGTAAAACTATTCTGCGATAAGTTACATCAAAATGGCGTTACACGCAGAAAAGATCGTAAGGATTATGGCGTTAGTTTTACATAATTTATTTCAGGAATTTTAAAAATACAATTATCAAGATTTTGTCTAATGGTTCAATACCGAAAACAAAAACGTTCAGAATACGCAAATATATACATATTGACCAAGCATCGGCTTAGATTATCAATCATTGAAAATGATATTCTTAACAATTTGTGAGAATTTAGAGTACTAATACGAATTGTGCACCAAATAAAACACGGAATGTATGAGTAACTTCGAATGACGAGATTTTTAAGAACTACGATGCCATTATCACTGTACACTAATTAGTGAGAAGTAACGAAATCAGTATTTAAGTTACGAAATCAGACACAAAAACATACCTTTGTTCATTGATATTTGAGTCTCAATATAAAGGTGAGTTTGGAAAATAACGAGAAATAGCCGGAAACATTTGAAATTTAGAAATAGAAAGTGGTAATTTTAACGCATTTTCTTCCCACTATGATCTTCTCAAAAATATTTTCAACGCAATATTTTACCCGCTATGAAATCTTTCAGAAAATTGCAATGCATTATTAATCTACTTTTTTGAAAAATAATAGTTGGAGGTCATAACACAAACAAGATGGCGTCAAAGATTTCAAATGATTGCGTCATCAGCCACTGCAAATGAACTTTTGAATGTCATTTACTAACAGATTAGCAAAAAGAACCTTTAAATGTAAAGTATATTTTTCCAGTTTCCAATCTGACAGATATTATCACGCACAACAGGGAACGACTGAATTTAATTAAATAAGTCTCTCTCTGCTCTTTGTACTAAGCTTTCCTAATTGCAATTAATACCGAATGAAATATCTCGGGCGCTCCTGTAAGTTGGCAATTAGATTACGAAACGGAGGTTTATGTATGTAACCGTAGCAATAGTCGGTAATTGATTTAGATTTCGGGAATTAAGTTTAAAACGAGAACGCTTTCAAATAGATTTAAGTCAACGTCAGAATGGTTAGTCAATTTATTTGAGTTGTAGATAAATGTTTATTATTTAAAAAAAACCCTTTTATATTACTTTATAATGTTATCGTCAGTTCTTAATTCGTTAAAACTCAATGTTAGCATTTGAAGACAGGTCACACTTTTTGAATAAAATAGTTGTAATAACAAGATTCTATTTCTGAGATACGTCTTAGCTAAGCAAAATATTTGAAAAATTTAAATGGCAATGTTTTTTTCTTTATATAAACGATCGAAAGTAGAAAATTAACAAAATAAAATCTTACTTTGTTTTAAAGTATACAAAAGTTCTATCGCATTATTTAAAATGGAAATTTAACAAAAGGAAACTTTTACTTTGATTAAAAGTACACAAAAGCTCAATCGCATTATTTCAGTAAATGATTTCGGATCATAACTACTCTTAATTTATTAAAAATTCTTAACTTAAAAGTAATTAAGATGCATAGTATTCCATTTATAATAAGAGTTGAGTTTGATATTATACGAATATCAAAATATGAAAAAAGACTATTTTAATTTTTTAGATCTGACCCGTATTTTTCAAAGAACAATGAAAACAATTTGCACTAAAATTTTGTTTTAAGATTACAGTACCAATTAAATAATACGAAATAATGCGTTGAAAATATTTTTGGGGTGGTAATAGAGGGTAAAATGACGCGTTAAAATTATTACGTTATGTTTCTCATAATTTTCAAATGTTTTTTTTGCAATTTTTCGTCATTTTTCAAATTTACTCTTATATTAAGGCTATCAACACAATAAGTTATGTTTCTGTGTCTGATTCCGCAACTTAAATTATCATCTGTTCTCACGAATTAGCGTACAATGATAATAGCATCGTAGCTCTTGAAAATCTCATCATTCGAAGTTACTCATGAATTCCGTTTTTTATTCGGTTTTATACATATGTTACCGGCAAAGTATGAAACACTGGCATTCTATAGAATGACTAGGCCTTGTATAGAATGCCTGACGTTTTTAGGCAAAGTATGAAATGTGAGAAGTATTACATACTTTGCCTAGCCATTGCATAGAATGCCTGACGTTTTAGGCAAAGTATGAAATGTGAGAAGTATTACATACTTGCCTAGGCATTGTATAGAATGCCTAGACATTCTATACAATGCCGGATGCTATTTAGGCAGAGTATGAAATAAACGTCCTGATGAGGTTATTATGTAAATGATGTGCATGTTACTGTGAATGAGCGAAATCGGTGGTTGTTGACTTTCACCGGTGAATGTTGACAATCACATAGTCGCTTTGGTGAATGTCTGAAATATTTATTACATCCGATTTGATATTAATTTATTCGTGGATATAATTACATTTATTCGATATTTTAATACTTACTGACGATAGATTAGAAGAAACATCAGTGTTTGGAGTATCGGACAAATGTATGTCGGGCAGTGACCATTGACCTTAAAAAAACATCAGTGTAGGGTGTACCGGGCAATGGCACTTGACCTTAGAAAAAAACTTCAGTGTAGGGTATACCGGGCAAATGTATACCGGAAAATGGCACTTGATCGTAAAAAAACATCAGTGTATGGTATACCGGGCAATGGCACTTAACTAGTATATATTTCTGACATTTACCTCCTCGACGATTCGACCCTTATGACATGGTGCATTATCCTGTTGGTAAACACCATCCCCCACAGGAAAAACTGTTGCCATGAATGGGTGAACCTGGTCTGCAACTATGTTCAAGTAACTTACAGACGTCAGGGATTGTACTATGAGAATTATGGGTCCTAATGTGCCCCATGAAAATATTGTTCCTGGGCTAGAAACAAACTTTTTTTCGGTATTAAACCATTAAACAAAATCTTGAAATTCTTGAGATTTGTATTAAAATGCAGGTACCGCTAAGTCTAATTGAAAAAGGTTTTTTTGGTGAATCCAAATTTGCAAAAAGGATTCCTATTTAAAATTTTAAAGTTGCCCCTAAACCAAAGATTTGAGATTAGGAGACGTTCGCATTAGAATATGGAAACATTGGTGAGTGACTTACTTTATGACTTGCAATATGCCGTCTGCAATAATGAACATTTCTCGAGCCACTTCACCTTTTCTACAGACAAGATCTCCTGGTGTAAATATGTATGCCTTCATTTTCAGCACTAGATCATGGAGGAATTCCGGCTGGCACTCTTTAAATATGCTCACCTACAGAAGACGAAACTATTTCAATATCTGTTAATAGTAAAGCTATTTGCAATTATTTTAAATCAGTAAAGAGAGTTCGTAAGTATAATTGTTAGTAATAAGTTTATAGTTGTAAGTTGAAGCATTGTAACAATTGAAGCACTTTTTGAAAGCATGACTGCTTACTGTTAGTTACTGATACATTATTACAATTATTTGCTGTTGTTGTTTTGCTTCTTTAATATGGAAATATCATGTTTCGGTAAAAGCACATCTCATTAAAAAACATTCTTTGAGCGCTTTTGGACAAATTTGGGCATTTTCAGACAATTGGAGAAACATATTTTAACATGGAACTAGTTTCAAGAGATTCCCTCTTTTCAAAAAATTTAAAAAAATTCACGAAGTGTTCGCTCTTTTGCTTCTTTAACCAAACTTTACTACCACTACTGAAACCTTTCAAGGACCGCAGGAACCCTGTCATTAGTTTAATAATACGAATCATTACCAACTCTTGAGAAAATATTAACAGTTTCAAATATCTATTTGAAATAAATGTTTTGCTAGCGATGGGACATTTCATCAAATTTTACCGTAGTTTAAAGTGATTTAAATAATATCAGTCAAAAATAAGTTTTCATGTTTGAAAAAATATTCGAAATGTTTATCGGGTCTTCCGAAAACATCTTGGGAACTGTAGTTTGTTAGTGACGTAGAATAGAATCCGCCTTTTTTTTAAAAAAAAGAAGAAAAAAAGAAAGATAACTTTCATTTCTTGAGGGTTATGAGTTTAAAGATGTATGAATATGTAGTCATATTAATATATTTCCTTTTCCCGTGTTATATGAAGGTGTCTTTAAAGACAAGCAAAATTTCCGTAAGGTTCTTTTTCTTGTCTCTCTTCTTTATGTTGATGTGCTGCGATTTATACTTTAGCATGAAGTTATAGTTCCTAGTACATTTTTAAATAGGCTCTTCTTTTATGTTTTTGATTTTCTTAAAAGATATTCTACGTAGAGCCGTGATGGATCAATTTCCGAAGAGGCGGCCTATGCTCGAATCCCAAAGATGTCTTTTCGATACAGATTCTGCTTCCGGCTTGTCCCCGACCACAGTGCTGACTTAATATATTCTCATTGATCAGCGGATCGCTTGTCTTTCGTGGTTTTCCCCTCCGTTTAATGCAAATAGTTTTTAGTTCCATCAAAAAAATCCTCCACACTGAGAAAATAATTATGGCCAAAACTATCAGAATATGGTAACATTTATTGTATTTCTGGCTCCATGGGAGCACCAAAAAGCTCGATAACTTTTGCCGAAGCGCTTTGGTTATTATTTTGGTTAAATTAAAAATAAAATGTGGTTTTTATAACATGCGGTGAAATTTGATATACGTGGTAAAATCTAATAATTTTATGAGCAAAACTTATAAATTTTTGATCTAAAAGTATGGCATATAAGCTATTTATTCGGTTAAATTTACTTTTCAATTTTTTATTAATTACCAAAAGTGTGGTAATAAAAACTATAGTTTTGAAAACCAGAATTTCTAGTAAACTCTTACCTTATGAATGGAAAAAATCGCCAAATGGATGGTTTAAATACCTTATATTTAGTTTTTATCATCGGAATTATAGTTTTTTTAAAAATTTATTTACTTTTTTACCCAAATTGTCATTTTTAGCAATACGGTAATTTAACAAGAATTGTGTGTCGCGATGGCAGGTTCGTAATATGCCTGATTCAGAAGTTCTACTGTCTTCTGGGTTAGGTTAAACATTGCAAACTTTTGAAGTTGAACCTTTATTGTCTTAAACTCAAAACTGGGTCACTGTTCAACGCTGTTATAAAAAGTTTTACGTAATATTATGAAATCTTAAACTTAATTTTTCAAGCATTAGGCTTAAAGTTTTAATATAACGGCAATTCTCCCCTCCCTCCATCGCTAAGGGAATCAATTAAATAGCAGATTACAGTCATTGAGACACCTCTGTTAAAGTGGACATTAATTTTAGAAAGTATATAATTTACTTCCCAATAACTTCGTAGCTTATGTTTTTTTTTATTATTCATTTATTTAGAGTTGCAGGTTTTGGTCTCGAAGTTTAGAGAGTGAGGATGAAGTCTTTTTCATCAGATGTGAGGAATTAGGCTCAATTCACTACTGCTTATTCTGCCCAAATCATTCAATTTATAATATTCGAAGATGTTATTCAACGCAGAATTCAATGCTCTTTGATTTTGTGTACGATGTTGCGTTTAAATGCTATAAAGCAAAAAACTGGACAAAAAATTCTTAAAATTTTGCAGTCTTGGCTCTTAGAAGTTCAACGGACCTCAAAAACCGTAGTATTCTTAATGGGATACCTCAAAGTGACGTAGTATGGGTATCTTGATCCTGATTGGTTATTGAAGCATGGCATTTGCTTGCGTTAGCAACTGTTCCTTCCATTCTATTTCAAGTAAGCCAAGCCTTTCAAGTATCAATTATTTTAAGTGACACATTCTAAATACTTTCACAAAGATTCTTTCTCAACGATTTCAGTTCTACCACAATATATTTACTTAACACAAAGACAGGCATGAAGCAATGTGGAACATAATTAAACTAATTGTACATCGAAGTTGCCGGGTACACAAAACAAAAATATATCACGGTTGCAATAAAATACATAAACACATTATAAATCTAAGTTAAGTAAGAGAAGTAGACTGAGAACGAATTATATTTAATCTAATTTGATGTGCGGCTCTCTATTTAATTCGGCTCAATTTCGGATTTGTATTTAATTAATTTATCGTTTATTAACATTCTTATTTATGCAGAAAAACTTAGCTCAACTTCAAAACGCCATTTTGCTGATAAAGATTAGCTAGCGCTGACATCATAGGTCACACGTGTGGGTATGGGAAGTCCTCTTCTTCTTAACGCAAGTACCCAATTGAGATACTCATAGTGAAATAAAATCATTCCCAGTTTTTTGAGACTATAGTTCGAGGCAAGGTGCTTTTTTCGATCGAACTTGACTTGGCTCTAATTTCGACAAATGTGATTTTAAATTTTTTTTCTAATTTTTCATAGGCAACTTTATCAATTAATAATAATAATTTTTTTTTAAATAAAATAATTGGATTCTAGCTTTTTGCAATATACGCATTAAAAAGAAGAATTAAACATTAAGCATTTCAAGAATTGTTTATTTTTTTGAAGTTGCTAGTTTTGCAGGAACTTATATTTATTTTATTGACAGCATAGAACAATCGACGAATGCAATGATTGAAATATGACAATTACTTTTTAAACAGTTTTCACGACCTTTAAATAAGTTAAATTATTTTTCCTTAAAACAATTAGATACTATTTTTTTGTAATATACAAATAAAAAAAGAGAATCGATCAAAAAAATTGTAAGATTCATTAATTTAAATCCGACGTTTTGAAGAAATATGACTTTTTTATTGATTCCTTACAATGGCATATTCACGTCTAAATTTATGGAAGGTGATATTAAGTTTTTACTAAATTTTCTGAAACTGTATCATCGCGATATAATTAAATTGCTTTTAAAACAAAAACTTTAGTATCTATTTATTACAATTCACGTAATAAATAAACGAACAAGGTAGCAAACATTTAAAGATTTATGCAATTAAAATTTCCGTTTTTCAGAAGCATAACTATTTTATTAATTTCATATAATAGCGTGTACACATTTGATTTTATAGAATGTGATATTATTTTTTTTAAATTAATTTTTCCAATAAAATTGCATCACTGCGAAATAATAAAACTATTTTTAAATAAAATCTTTAGGATCTATTTTTTTTGCAAATATATTACGCAACATACATAATTACGCAAAAAATGAAGTAGTAAGCATTTTAAGATTTATTAATTTAAAATTACAATTTCGCAGAAATATTTAACTATTTTATTGATTTCCCATAACGTAACACCTATAGGGCTGAAATATTTAAGTTTTTTCATTGATTATTTATGAGGTATTTATACACATATTGCTGAAATATTTAATTGGTTTATTGATTTCTTACAAAGTATACATATTTAAATTTATTGGAAGTGATATTAAATTTATACTAATTTTCTCTTATTAATTGCAAAATAGTTATTTTATTTTAGCAATAAGAAGATTTTCTTCTTTTTTTCCCTTTCTTTTTTTGCATTTTACATATTTAAAAGATGGATATGTCATCCATTTTTATCTCATGATTTTCTTTTTTTTTTAATCATTCAATAGGTTTTTTCGAATCCTTTTTCTCCGTTTAAAGGTGAATTAGAAAGTACAAAGTTCTAGATTAATGCACAATTTGTATTTTTTGGTGACGTTCGGTTCTAACCTTTGAATTCTAATTTCTTTTCTAATGATATCAAATATATTTACAATTCCGGTCTAAAGATAGCATCCTGAAAAACTAACCTTTGCCCACATACTATATTTAGGGACAATTAGAATGATAAGGGAGTGATTTTAATAATTTCCAGATCTCATGGGTCACTTAAGAATCTCATATAAATATACCTGAATATTTACCTCGTTCCTTACAATCTTTTACTTCTTGCAATTCTTCATTCTTTGCAAACAATATCCATACTTTAGGTAAGTTCTTGCATACATTTGTTGATATTTTTTCTACCTTATTTTTATGAGTAAATTTGAATGAAATTAAATACTATTCAAATTCTAATTTTTCTAAAAACTTACCGTTTTGTAGTAATTTAATTTCGATAGCTAGTTTTATTATGGGGAATAAAAAATACTAGTTTAAATTATTAAATATCAGAATTTCTCTTCTAGGTGTATCTAGTTATTGTAAAGAATTATTTAGCAAACTGTTTTGCTAATTATTGTGTTTAATTACTTAGCTTATTATTTTTTCGCTAATTATTGTATACATACTAAGTTATAATTTATCCGAATATATTTTTACGATAAAATAAAACTCAGATTTAATTCTGATGCAACTATGTTTTATTATTATTAAACGCTATTAAAGTTTCA